AGTTCGGTCGGGATCTTGGCGTTCGGGGCGCAGTTTGCTGGTTGAAGGGGGACCTTGCAGATGTTCACAAGACCCATGGTCTGCCATCGGTGTCATCTGCAAATAATCCTTATATGTTCTGTAACTGTACTGGTGAAGATATGAATGAGCGCTTCAGTAACGTTAAGTTTGGTAGTGCATGGCCCTGGAGCGAACCTGGGCCTGATGACTACGAAGCTCACTGCCATGCGTGCGAGGTACATGTTCAAATAGACACTCCTCAGCAGCTGCGGAAAATCGTGAATTGCATCAGGTTCCAGAAAACAAGTGGGAGCTACGGGCCAACGGTTTTCAAGCCTGACCTAGACTTGGGCTTGAGAGTAGGTGATTCGTTAACATCTTCGGACAGCTTGCAGAACCCCCAAGACTTCTCGAATACGCAGCTCCCGAACAGGTTCACGTTTTGGAGGAAGTCCAGGGACGACAATGGAGTTCGGCAAGGTCCTGCCGTTCATCGAAACCCGATCTTCGGCCGCAGCACGTGCGTCTACCCCACTAAGGTTTTCGCAGTAGATTATATGCATACATTGGTCATGGGTCTTATATCTAGGATCGCGAGTGCAATCCTTTGGAGAGTGATATTCAAGAATAAGTGGAACACGAATGGACCAAAAAAACAATTATCGACACACATTGCAACCATCTGCGGGAGTTGCTATACGAGTGGCAAGTTCAGGAACATATTCCATGGGAAGACAGAATCAACGATTTGACTGTGTCAACTCTTGGGGGCGAACCGTCGGCGAGCGATTTCAATGACGAAGGGGTGCACATAGGGTCCAATATGAAGTGGAAAGCACATGAAACACGCGTCATGCTTCGGTTCGCGGCGCACCTCGTAGACACGCACGCAGATATTCAATACAGGAGACACATACAGATCGCAGCCACATCTATCTGGGATTTCTATTCTGTCTTGAAGGGTGAGCCGATGATCGTCTCGGATGTTGCATTGCGGAAGTGCTGGGCCCTCATGAGCCAGTGTTTGGTGCGCTCTTCCTGGGCCTACGTGCACGGCGCGCCAAAGTTCCACTTCTCAGCCCACCTTGTCCAGAGGCGGGGTGATGGGAGCAATAACACACACCCCACTGGAGGGCAGTGAGGGGGGGCGCGGGGCCCCGAGCCCCGAAGCGGCTGCGGGGGGAGACGACGACGACGACGACGACGACGACGACGACGACGACGACGACGACGACGACGACGACGAGGACGACGACGACGACGACGACGACGACGACGGTTGGCTGGGGGGGCCCCAGCCAACCCCCCCTCACTGCCCTCCAGCCCAAACCCAACCAACCCCCTCACTCCCCCGCCGACTCCCGTCGTTCATTTCCCCTCCCATCTGTACCAGTACCCTGCCACTCCCGTCCGCTCCCGTTTGCTCCCCGTATCCCCTCGCTTCTGGCCACCATGGCCAACGTGCAACTTAATGCGTTCAACGGGCCTCACTGTTCACTGGGCAACCTTCCTCTTGCTACCCCGTCTACCTCATCACTCCCCCCGCCAGTCCCCTCGTCTTCCTCCTCCGCCCTCCTGTCCCCCGCCTCCTCCACCTCCTCCCCCGCCTTTTGGGCACATTAAGTTGCAGAGTTGCACCCAGGATAGCATTCCAGGGCAACCCGATATTATACGCAGTGTGGGTCGATGAGAGCTTGAACCTCGCTTTCAGGACTGTGGCCGAACACGCCCACCCAATCAAGTTTGACCATCGCATTTTCCGACAATTTCATAATAGAGCATCTCTTGGCTTAGCCCCGCGGCTTTACTCGCCAGCTTTTTACCAATGAAACTGACCGCTCCATTTTGGATGGAAGCCGCCTTGCGCCGCATGTGCAAGGCGATGGGCAGGCCGTTCGAGGATGCTGGCCGCTCTGGTGCATTCGAGGCTCATGATCTTGTGAGCCTGGTCAGTGCCGAGATACTGGGATATTCGATTGTGCGCGACGTGGACCTCCTTTTAGTGTTCAGTGGCAAGGGCGCCGCAGCAAAGGCTGCGCGAGAGATAGGGCTCAACGCGCTGACGTATGACATTGCAGACAATGCCCAGGAAGACATTTCAACCCTCAGGGGCGTTTTGATTCTTGGATGGTACCTTTCTCAAGTCCGCGCGGGAGGACTAGTGTGGGCGAGCCCTGAGTGCAATTTTCCTTTCGAGGGGGCAGTACGGGCGCTGCCTCCACGGCAACAATATTCTTGGAAATGGGAAGTGGCCAGCTGCGAACGTTGCGAACATCACGTCAGTTGTTGTGGCTTGGCTTGTAATGTACTGCGCAATTCGCTCTCTGCATGTTGCCGTCGAGCAGCCAGTGAACAGCCTGATGTTTCAAGCTCCGTGGCTCGGACGAGCCCTCATACGTGCGCAAGCGCGCCGTTTCACGACAGGCTTGGGGCGATTCGGCAGCCCAAGCATGAAGAATTTAGAAGTGCACACCACGCTTCCAGAAACTGTCGTGCACGATCTCCTGGCGAAGAAAGCTCGCCGCTCGTCTGGCTCCAAGGCTCGGAATCCCGTCCATCTCGCATTCCAGCAGGCAACTGGTCACTGGGTTGGTGCGCCTAAGGTGCTCAAGGCATCTCAGGCGTACCCGAGGAAGTTCGCCGCGGCAATCGCTCAGGCAGCGCACGCATGCAAGGGCCCCGATTGAGCCACGCGCCCGAGTGGCGCAGCTAGCCTGGCGGCCAATTCAAGGATGCCCGTGGCAGTGTTGTTGGTCCCGTATAGATCTCGAGAACTGCGTGAGTTTGCGAGTGCGCGGCCTGGGAGCGGCGTTCCAAACAATCAGGTTGCAAAAATAACATGTTTGGCCTGAAGGCCTCACCGGTTTGATTCAAGAGGCTTATACGCCATTCCACCGACGTGGAGGCGGCGATCTTGTAAGTTACCTAGTGGGTCAGGGGCCTCTTGGTTTGATTCTGGGATGGCAAGGGCCCATTGAGCTCTCCTCATCCTCCTCCTCCTTCCCCAACTTCTCCTCCTCCCCCTTCTCCTCATCCTCCACCTCCTCATCCTCATCCTCCCCCTCCTCCTCCTCCTCCTCACTTTGGCTTAACGCCTCAACGCGACCGACTGAACGCATCGCCGCGCAACTCTGCGCTCAACGCCAGCGCACCTCAACGCACCTCAACGCCTGCTCAACGCCAACGCGTTGAGGTCTCACTCTCGCGTCTGGGATGGCCGTTCTAGGCTCAACGCCAGCGCACCTCAACGCACCTCAACGCCTGCTCAACGCCAATGCGTTGAGGTCTCACTCTCGCGTCTGGGAACCGTTCTAGGCTCAACACCAGCACACCTCAACGCACCTCAACGCCTGCTCAACGCCAATGCGTCGAGGTCTCACTCTCGCGTCTGGGAGCCGTTCTAGGCTCAACGCCAGCACACCCCAACGCACCTCAACGCCTGCTCAACGCCCATGCGTTGAGGTCTCACTCTCGCGTCTGGGAGCCTTTCTAGGCTCAACGCCTGCGCACCTCAACGCACCTCAACGCCTGCTCAACGCCAATGCGTTGAGGTCTCACTCTCGCGTCTGGGAGCCGTTCTAGGCTCAACGCCAGCACACCTCAACGCACCTCAACGCCTGCTCAACGCCAATGCGTTGAGGTCTCACTCTCGCGTCTGGGAGGGCCGTTCTAGGCTTAACGCCAGCGCACCTCAACGCACCTCAACGCCTGCTCAACGCCTGCTCAACGCCAATGCGTTGAGGCCTCACTCTCGCGTCTGGGAGAGCCTTTCTAGGCTCAGCGCCAGCGCACCTCAACGCACCTCAACGCCTGCTCAACGCCCATGCGTTGAGGCCTCACTCTCGCGTCTGTGAGCCTTTCTAAGCTCAACGCCAGCCCACCTCAACGCACCTCAACGCCTGCTCAACGCCCATGCGTTGAGGCTTCACTCTCGCGTCTGGGAGGGCCTGTCTAGGCTCAACGCCAGCACACCTCAGCGCACCTCAACGCCTGCTCAACGCCAATGCGTCGAGGTCTTACTCTCGCGTCTGGGAGCCGTTCTAGGCTCAACGCCAGCACACCCCAACGCACCTCAACGCCTGCTCAACGCCAATGCGTTGAGGTCTCACTCTCGCGTCTGGGAGGGCCGTTCTAGGCCTAACGCCAGCGCGCCTCAACGCACCTCAACGCCTGCTCAACGCCAATGCGTTGAGGTCTCACTCTCGCGTCTGGGAGGGCCTTTCTAGGCTCAACGCCAGCACGCCTCAACACACCTCAACGCCTGCTCAACGCCAATGCGTCGAGGTCTCACTCTCGCGTCTGGGAGGGCCTTTCTAGGCTCAACGCCAGCACACCTCAACGCGCCTCAACGCCTGCTCAACGCCAATGCGTTGATGTGGCACTTTCGGGCCTGGGTTCTGCACTGGGCTACTCTCGGGGGGACCTTCTGGGTTCTGCACTGGGCTACTCTCGGGAGGACCTTCTGAGCGCCCACAGCCCTCCTTTCTAAAGTACTGATGATGATGCTGAGGAGGAGGAGAAGGAGAAGGAGGAGGAGGAGGAGGACAGAAGAGGGAAGAGGAAAAGGAAGAGTGAGGAGGGTGTCTCTCTAGGGTCATACACAGGCTTGTCCCCGCGGGGCATAGATCATCCGACAAGGCCGAATACGGACTACAACACCAAGCTACCCGAAGCTCACCCCCGTTGCCATTTGTGCTGGATTAGATTTGGTTGAAACCATTCGATACTCCATATGAGCTTGCGTTTTTGGCCGTGATAGCGGCCGACGAAATCATTATCCCTGTTCCTGGCCTGGCGAAACCTTTCGTGCAAGTGATCAGACTCGTTCATGCAACAAGCCTCAAGCCGCCCCTGCTCAAGCCACTCCTGGCGCAGTGCGTGAGCTTCCCGCAGGATCAGAAGTCCGCGCGCTCCTGTCTGGGTTGAGAGAGTCAAGCAAGACGCTCGTCTCGGCACTCGGGCCAACCCTTTTCGTGCCGACCAACTCGGACGGCACAGTGATGTCGGTCGGCGACCCACCGACACCGTCACAAGGCGGAGCAGGAGTTGGAAAGTAAGGACAAGGGCAAGACATCAGTGGTCAAAGCATTGCAGGAGATAGATGAGATCGCTCCACGGACGGAGATACCTACGGCGAAACGCGTTCGACACTTCAGTCCAGAAAAGAAGACCGTGATCAGCGAGGCCCCATCGACTCTCGCTGCTGATGACTACTCCGCATACGCCAATTCCATCGGTTTCGACCAGGACTCGCAGTTGGAGTTTGATGTATCACATATGTATCCTGGATCACAGGACCTCGGCGCGCCGCCTACTGAGACGCAGCAGTGCAATTAAGACAGCTTTGGCGGAATGAGAAGGGAGAGGAGAGGAGGAGGACGAGAAGGAGGAACATGAGAAGAAAGGGAGGATGAGGAGGATGATGAGGAGGATGACGAGGATGAGGAGGAGGATGAGGACGAGGAGGACGATGATGAGGAGGAGGAGGAGGAGGAGGAGGGGGAGGAAGAGGATTAGGAGGAGGAGGAGGAGGAGGAGGAGGACGAGGACGAGGACGAGGAGGGGAGGAGGAGGAGGAGGAGGATTAGGAGGAGGAGGAGGATGAGGAGGATGAGGAGGATGAGGAGGGGGGTGAGCGAGGAGGGAGGCAGTTTTTTCCCGGAAAGGGCGCCGGCCCAGGGTTCTCTTTTAGTTGGTAAACCTGTCCCCCGGTGCCAACTTGAAGGAGGCCGGCGGATTTTTTCCCTGATAAATATCGAGGTCGAAGGAGGCCGGCAGATTAAAATTTGAGGATGTCTCAGGCGAAACGCTTGTTTTTGAAATCCCGATCGATAAATCACAGGGTGCGGGACACCTCAGCACGACCACACCCCCAGCATGACCACACCCCAGCACGACCACGCCCAGCACGACCACGCCACAGCACGACCACACCCCAGCACGACCACACCCCAGCACGACCACACCCCAGCACGACCACACCCCAACACGACCACACCCCACCACGATCACACCCCACCACGACCACACCCCAGCACGACCCGATCGATGAATCACAGGGTGCGGACCACCCCAGCACGACCCCACCCCAGCACGACCCCACCCCAGCACGACCCCACCCCAGCACGACCCCACCCCAGCACGACCACGCCCCAGCACGACCACACCCCAGCACGACCACACCCCAGCACGACCCCACCCCAGCACGACCCCACCCCAGCACGGACCACACCCCCAGCACGGACCCACACCCCAGCACGACCACACCCCAGAACGACCACACCCCAGCACGACCCCACCCCAGCACGACCCCACCCCAGCACGACCACACCCCAGCGCGACCCCACCCCAGCACGACCCCACCCCAGCACGACCCCACCCTAGCAAGACCACACGCCAGCACGACCACACCCCAGCACGACCTCACCACAGCACGACCACACCCCAGCACGACCACGCCCCAGCACGACCACGCCCCAGCACGACCACGCCCCAGCACACCACCCCCCAGCACGACCACCCCCCCAGCACGACCACACCCCAGCACGACCTCCCCCCAGCACGACCACACCCCAGCACGACCACTCCCCAGCACGACCACACCGCCTTGGTTGAGTGGTTTGCCTGTCGTCGTGGAATGTTTCGTGGGGTGTCTCGTGGAATGTTTCGCGGGGTGTCTCCTGGAATGTTTCGTGAGGTGTCTCGCGGAATGTTTCGTGAGGTGTCTCGTGGGATGTTTCGTGAGGTGTCTCGTGGGATGTTTCGTGAGGTGTTGCCCCGTTGGGTATCGTGAAAACGTGCCCATGCTCCACATGTCTATATCCCTTTCCGGGTTCGTGGGTCCATCATGTTTTCGCTTAGTCGAGGCTGTTTTGCACAAGCGACTGCCATCGTCGCGCGCACGCGCAGCCTCTGCAGCGGGCGATTGCACTACACCCGTGATGGGAACAGAGTTCTGGCCCATCGGCACAATGTGTAATCGGGGCAATTTGTGCCCACCACTCCCTCATCTCACGAGCTTCGCTCATCCCCCGCCGCCCCGCGGTTGCGAGAGGAGCGAGGGGATCGCGGGCCACACGCAACCGAAATCTTCAGGGCTTCGCCCACCCCGCCGACTCGCTAGACAAACACGCTGGCGACGCTGGCCAAAAAAACATAAAGCGCCCGCGCCGCCACTTGCCACGATAGACGCCACGGCTGCGAGCAACTGGGACATTCGGGGCGTCGCCCACCCCCCCGTTCGGCCGCAGCGAGAACCGCGGGTCGCGACAACCTGGCACCAGTATAGGGCTTCGCCCACCCCGCCGCTCCGTCACCGAAAGAGGTCACCAGCAACGAACATTGCATGTCCTCAGGGCCTCGCCCCCCCCCCCCCCCCCCCCCCCGCGAATAACACAAAACGAGCAACTGGCAACGAACAGCTGCATGTACACATATAAGCCACGGCAGTCGCGGATAAGAGTGAACGGGCGGACAGCGCGGCCCCTGCATCTAAAAAGGTTTCGAACCGACCAGGTTTCCGAAACACAAAATGGTTCACCTCGTCAAATGCATATACATGCACATACAAACATATACGTACACATATACATGTGCATACACCTGTTACATCTACATATACATATGCATAAACATACACATAACGTGCACAACGATATGCACATATACATATACATGTACATGCATGTGCACTGCATACACATCTACACATACGGTTACATGTATGAAAAGGATATACAACATATGTACATACATATACAGCTACATGTACATACATACGTATATACCAGCGCATATGCAACTATGTTTATATACGCTCGAATATGAACAACCATACTTCTATATTTACATATATACGTATATACAAACACACATATGTATATGTGCATTTGTATACAGATGTATAGTATAATGCAGATGCGTACATATACATGTAAACGCAAACACACATGTATGCACACGCGTGTATACATTAAATATATATATAATATGTATGCCTGTGCATGCGCAATGCCTGGATCAGATCCAGAGGCCTGGATCTGATCCAGGGTCCTGATCCAACCCTCTGAACGATGCTTTTTCTGATCCACAGGGCCGGATCTGATCCACGACGCATGGATCTGATCCACTGATCCTAGCAACCCCAGGGTGGCTGTGGTTTTGCTCCGGCTGAACACTGTTGCGCCGATATTCGGCGCGGCGATGCCCGCGCACCGGCGACGCGAGACCGGGGCGCGAGATCTGCCTGCCGACGACCTCACGGGGGAGACCTCGCGGGAGGCGACCCGAGCGGGCCCGGGCGACCGGCCCCGGAAGTGCGCGGGTTCCCTTTGCCCTTTCCCTCGCCCTTGCCTTCGCCCCTGGCCCTGCATCCGCAGAGTCCATTGACTTTGCGGCGGGCCCTCAGCAGGTCATCCTCGCACGCTGCCACCGCGCCCCCGCATCCCCCCGCACGCTGGCACGCCCCGCTGCCAGGGCCGCGGCGACCTCGCGGGGGTCGCCGTGGACCAGAAGGGCCCGATCGCAATGGGTTGTGGAAGCCAGCCCTGGGGGCCTATTGCAGGATGCCGGGGCAGTCGCGGTAGCACTTTTCCAGGAGGGCGCCGCGATCACGGCCGGGGCCGAGCGAGTCGCAGAGGCGCACCGCGACTGAGATGGCTCGCGGCGAGCCCCACTGCGGCAGCGCGCTCGGGCACGACCGCCGGGCGAAGTTGTCTCTCGTCTCCCGCGACCAGCACCCGCCCCCCTGCTCTGGCGAGGACCACGAGGGCGATGATGGCGAGGGCCTCGATGGACTGCCCAGCCCCGCCCGGGATCCCCAACGCGATGTCGGGGCTGCTGTCAGCGCCCCGGTTTGCCGCGAGCTCGAGGGGGTGCCTGGGCCAAATTAGCGCCGTTAGCAACTCGCGCATTCCGCGCGTGACAGGTCTCGATCCGGCGGCCAGGTTCGAACGGGCGACTGCCCCGGGCCGCCTCGAACTTTGTGGCCGGCGCCAGCTCGCCCGCCTCTGGGCGCATGGCCCGATCCTCTCTGGCCGCGCGAACTGCGGGGTCGGGAAACTTGGTGGCTGGGTTTAGGCGCCCGACCTGCTCAGCTTCAGACATGCACCACGCGCGCGCGCTGCTTCGCCGGGCCCCGCAAGCAAGCCAATCGCCCGCCCTGGAGGGGCGCAGGGCACCCACACATATCCAAGACTGCGGCAATCGTCTTGGCCTCGCCAGCGCCGCGCGGTCCGCGCGCCGGGATAATCAAGGCGCGGAGTGACTGCTCAATGACCTGATTCTGCGAAACGTTGACCGGGCGTCATCGGGCGACCTCGCCCACGCGGCCCCGCGCAAAGGAGTAGGGGTCCGCTAGAAGACGTGAAAAAGCAGGCTTCGTCCCCCTCGTCTGCGGGCCCGGGTCGGCCGGCGTCGGGCTCGGCGGCGAGCGGCACGTCCGGGTCAGAGATCGCGACCGACAGCGCAGCGGCGGCCTGCTGCCTGGCGGCCGCTCCTGCCCTTGCCAGGTTGGTCACTGAGTTGGCGGCCCCCTCGCTTGCCAGGTAGCCTGCTTGAAGGGCCCAGGCGCAAGTGATCACGGCCAGCGACGTGCCCCACAACGCGCTGCAGGCCGCCTGGGGGAGGAAGACCTCCTGGATAGCTGTCCACGCTCGATTCATCTGCATCTGGGGCGGGGCGGTGTCAATGCGGTACCAGGGGTCGTTCGGGCCCCGTGGCCTGGTGGCGATAGCGTTGTCTGGGTGGAAGGCCCCCCATCCGGCGTCGAACCTGGCGATGGGGATCTTTGCTGAGTAGCGTCTGCGCCGGTCCCGCCCTACGTTTCCCCGTATACTGGCGGCCATTCCACAATCGTGTCCGCGATGTGGGCTGTGATTGATGATCTGTGGGACACGTAGATAGAGGCGGGTGCCTCTTGGTCCCTCGGCCACTCTATCAGGTAGTCGCCCTGCCACGCGAGAATATGGTACTCGTCCGTGCCCCGTTTCTGGCGGGCAAACAGCTGCTCGAGCTCGAATTCGCGGACGACGGGGCGTGGCCTCGCGAGGTCATACCTCTGGATGCTGACGCCCAGGGCGCAGGTCCGACGCCGGCGACATCCTTCCCAGGCCCCGGCAGTGCCATCGTCGGCGGGTTCCAATCGAGCCTGCTGCTCTGTCAGGAATACTTGCAGCAGCCGCTTGCCCTTGTCCTGCACGATCTTGGGCAAGCGTTCCGGGAGCGTCAGTGCGCCAGGGATGGGGCCGGTTGGCCGTCCGGCGGCGCACCAGCAGAGAGCCTGCCATGGCTTGGCGAACAGCAGCTGAACAAACTTCGCTGCCGCTGTTGCTGGCATG